TAGGAAAACTTTAATCCTAACATGTTGTCTGCTCTGGTCTACAGCCAAAGCAGACCAAAAAATAAGCTGATAATGTGATATATGTGTATTTATGAGAGACATTCCTTCTCCTCACTATGGCTTAAGTTACAAGCCGAGGTAGCCACCAGAACAGTGTGTACCTTGAAAGGAGGCTCTTCTCACTACCTAGTGGACTGAACGCGACAAAAACTGACAGGTTGTACTTCCAAAAGCCCCAAGCTAAAAAATTGAAATTTGACAGCATAGTCCTTTCTTGTAAACCCCCAAAAGCTTTTTTGCATTCTGCTAAAAGACAGAGAAGACAAAAAAAGAAGCGCAATCAATAAGCCAAAAGCAAACAAATTTGCAAAAAACTCACAAACGGGATGAGTGTCCTTTTGACAAACACCGTCACTTGATTCGTCATCTGATAAGTTTTTGCTAATAAAACGAGTCCATCGGTTCGTGTGTTCATCCATTCGAACATCTGACGCTGCCAAGTTATCACCGTTCCTCCGACTACTGTTTCACCATGAGATACTTCCTAAAAAATCGCAATTCTTTTATTTTTTGAGCTTTTCTCTTAGTTTTTATCTTACACTTCCATTTAGTAATTTTACAATTAACGTTATGGTGCTAAGGTGCATTTGAGTTCGGTTTTGTTTGCAGAACTCCAATCTCGACAAAACAAGAAAATGGTTGAAGCAAAATTTAGGAAAAAAACACTTCATCATATCCAAAAACTAACAGTTAACTTCTATCGTCAATTCATGTTCGAAATATGAAAAACCTGACCTGCATTCCAACTACTAACAAATGTGGATTAGTAGCAATTGCGGGTGCCAGTAATTTCTCGACATCACTCTCATCACCTCGTTGCATATTCACATTATAAGTAATTATTACCACTCGCCAATCCATCTAAAAATGTATTTATAAAATTCATTAAATGGAATAGCATGTTATCTAGGAAAAGTCTCAAAATTTCGCTACTCAGGACTCTCTTTTTTTTATACGACATAAATCTTTCTTTCCTTAAAAATATCTCTTTGTGAACAGAATCTGTTACTGTCTTACTAATATAAAATATCCAATTGCGAATAAAATATTGTAATATTCTGTGAAATAACAAAATCCCACATCTTGCGACGATGTAACTATGACCAGTTGTGGCTGCTTTGAAATTTGATTTTCTCGAAGGGTAAATAAGGAGAACAACACCAGTATTATCACAGTATATTCCAGATTCGAAAAAGGGATGTGCTATGTTAAATTTCCTAAAATTAATTTTGAATTAGAAAAAA